CTGACCATCAAGGGCGTCGGCGGCGTACCTGAGTGAGCTGAGAAGGATAGAAATGGGAAGCATCAGATGGATCGCCATTGTGGAAAGCTGGAGTGCTCGCTAGATCAGAGGAGACGGTTGCTCGGTGCTTCGTTCTTGATTTGTTTGGAGTTTGTAGGCGGGGTCGATGCAATCATGTGCCGACTTATAAGAGCAGGGCTTCAGGGCTTGGACATGGAAGCTCGTGATGGACGGTGGCGCGTGTAGGGGGTTCAGTGACGCAGTGTTCGGTCAACAGGTTGTCCTGTTCTCGTCAACCAATATCAATATGGGTGGCTGCTGCAGTGCTGCATGGCTGGTGGCTGCATCGATCGGACAGTGCTGTCTCGTGGCGCCTCTGCCACTGGCCCACCCTTATGCAGCTGGCACAAGCACAACGTTCGAGTGTGAGGCTCCCAATCGGAGGCCTCCACGTGGTTTGCAAGATTGCATCTCATGTGCACACCCGATATGCAAGATTGCAACTGATGAAATGCCGGAGGGGAAGATTAAAGATAAACCCGGTAGCAAGCATGCATAATTACAGATTACCGATCTACCCGTCTTTACAGAAGCTTGAAGCGAAGGCATTGAAATGGGGGGACGGAACAGCGGCATCGTGGATCTAGAGGAGATGAGCATGGCCTATGCGTGGAGCGGCAGTCTTGCTCGAGGCATTCGTCACCCCACACGGGATTTTTTTTATTTTTTATTCTTTTTTATTCAATATTTTAATAATAATCGCTCCTATTTTTTTTTTTGCAGATCTAACAATTTTGGTCGCGCCGTTGTCACGTCACATGCAATGGTGCGGCAACATCCGCCACGTTAGACGGCGTTTCAGACGTAGAAAACGTTGTCACGCCACTCCCACTGGCGTGACAGTATTGTTCTGTTGTGCCATCGGGAGTGGCGTGACAAGACCAAATCTTTGAAAAATCATAACTCTTTTGATACGACATCGGATGAAGATGAGATTTATATGAAAATTGTATTTCTCGATGAGATCTACGACTTTGTAGTTTTGAGTTTTTTCATTTGAGAACGTTAAGATCCTCAAAAAAATAATATAAAATTTCAGGAGCATAATAACCGTGTACTAGTACTTGTCGTATTAGAAAAATAATATCGTTTCTGTATGTTGTCAAATGAAGATATTTTTTATGAAAGTTGTAGCGCTCAATGAGATCTGCAACTTTGTAGTTTTGAGTTTTAACATTTGGAGTAGTTAAGATGCTAAAAAAATAATATAAAATTTCAGAAACATAATAACCGCGTACAAGTACTTGTCGCATTAGAAAAATAATATAGTTTATGTATGTTATTAAATGAAGATACTTTTTACATAAAAGTTGTAGCTTTCAATGAGATCTACAACTTTGTAGTTTTGAGTTTTAATATTTTGAGTCTTTAAGATACTCAAAAAAATAATATAAAATTTCAGTAGCATAATAATCGTGTACTAGCGCTTGTCGTATTAGAAAAATAATATCGTTTTTTAATCATGTCAAATGAAGGTACTTTTTATATCAATATTGGAGCTTCCAATAAGATCTACAACTTTTATTTAAAAAAGTAGTTTTATGTGACATTAAATAAGAAATATACGATTTTCGAAAAAGATAAGTTTTGATACACGATTAATATGCAGCTAAAACATTATATTAGTTATTAGAGTATGTTAACGACCTCAAATATAATAACTCAAAACTATAAACTTGTAGATCTCCTTAAGGGCTACAACTTTGATATAAAATGTATCTTCATTTGACACTATACAAAAAAGATATTATTTTTTAAATGCGGCAAGCGCTGGTACGCGATTATTATGGTGCTGAAATTTTATATTATTTTTTTGAACATCTTAATATCCTCAAACGAAAAAACTCAAAACTAGAGAGTTATAGATCTCGTCGAGATCTATAATTTTCATATAAAAATCATCTTCATCCAACGTCGTATGAAAAAGTTATGATTTTTCAAAAATTTACTCTTGTCACGCCACTCCCGGTTGCGTGACAAGACAATACTGTCTCGCCATCGGGAGTGGCGCGACAAGCTTTTCTACGTCGGAAACGCCATCCAACATGGTAGATGTTGTTGCGCCACATGCGTTGGCACGACATCATTGTTTGGTCGCGCCAGCAGAGGTTAGATCTGAAAATATTTTTTGGAGCGGTTATTATTAAAATATTGATTAAAAATAATTAAAAAATATGTTTCGCATTAGTATTTTGGCTCGTATGGGTGTCGGAGTCCTTTTTGGCTCGTATGGGTATCGGTGTCCTTAAACAAGATAATTTGGTTCATACGAGTGTTGGAGTCTTACATCTTACATCTCTTATGAAAAAACTCGCTCTAAAAAAATGTAGATGATATGTGATCTTCATAGTTGACCATTGTGGTCAATTTATTTATCAATTGCTCTACTTTTTTTTATTTGTATTCATAATTTTTTCCTCTTTGCATCTCACCTTTCACTTCCGTGTGCCTTCAATGTTACTTAGTTGAGACTTTAGCTTAGGTTATATCGCCTCTTGTTGTAGTCTATGTGTGATGTTATGAATCTAGATTTTACTTTTTTTAATCCATGTTTACGTTGAAACTCTAAGCTTAGGAGTAAATAGAACTTGATTTCTTAATCAACCTAATTATTTCATTCCACTCCCTTTATTAGACACACAAGTTGTTCCTGTAAATCCATTGTTTTGTCTTGTTCCTTGTGTATAGGAATTTTTCCATGAGATTGTTTTTTCTATAGTTTTTCTATGGAATTAAAGGAAAGGAAAGTTATATTTAGAAAAATCTTTTAGTAATTCCTACAAACCAAAGGCTGCTACAGGAATCCAATTCTTTGTTTTTCCTCCGCTCCAAAGGAGGCCTAATTGTTATCCACCTAACAACTATTTTACTAGCTAGGTCAACTAACAAACAGCTCATACTTAGCTAGCTAATATTAGCTATGAGCTATTAGTTAGACAGGACCTTAGAGCATCTTCAGAGCTTTTAAAAAAATCTACTATCTAAATCATCATTTAGAGAGTCATTTGAGTAAAAAATGTTTTTTATATTTTGTATTCTTCAATAAATTTTCTATCTTATGTGCAGTCTAGAGAGCTATCCTCGCTCTCCGTCGCTGACTAGCGTAGAAATCAAGAATATAGAATATTTAGTCTTCGAAAATCGAAAACCAAGTTGGACGTTCCTATTTACCGGCATGCTGGCTTTTTCCTCCTCCCTCGAGAGATGGTTGGCACGATAGCATTTCAAACAAAAACTCCGACTCGAACACGCCCAGGCCCATTGAGCGGTCCACGTAAAAGGAAGCCCGCATTGCAGCTTCTTCACACCGGCCCAAGTATTGTCCACTTTACATCTTTTGGCGCTTTGCATACGACAGTTCCCTAGATACAATATTCAGAGGAGGCGCAGTTTTGACAATTGGCCTCCTCTGCACACAAGATATATCGGTCAAACAGCAAGCCTCGAAGCAAATGAAAGGAAAACCATTCAAGAACACAACCACCACCCCACCGATCCGAATAGTGAATTGGCAGTGACGGGTCCAAAGGAAAACAGGAAACAACCAAATCAGGAAACAGGCCAGATATTGGTACTGTAAAGAACGGAAGAGCTCCACATGGTGGTCACGCTACATGCACTGATTCACGTCCAGTTCCTGCCGCAGGACCATCTGCTACTGTGGACAACAGAGGACCTGACCTGCATAGGGAGGAAAAGATAAAGGCTGGATTATGGAATCAGATTGAGATCCAAAGCAGATGAGTGCACAAAAAGATACGGAAAAGGAGAAATACCTGAACATGTTTCATGCACCGAAAAAGTTCATGCTATCTTGGAACGATGGACCAATCATAGGGAAACAGAAAATTACAGAAGATCAGCTGGTCCTTGCTGAGACCTTTTGTCAGTGATAATTGATCAAAAGGTCACATCACATAACAAGAAACTGACCACTTTTTTGGGGGTCTGAGAAACAATGGGGCACCTTAAAGGTAGCAAAATACTAGGCATACATCACAGGTCAATCTTACATGAAGGTTTTGAAGCAAAATTACTGTTCTTGTACTGGATATGGAGTGACCTGCATGACAAGAACCAGACAATGCTAGACTTCTCGACATTTTTTACAAATGGCATTTTCAACTGTTCAGTTTCACCACCCCAGACAATCCAAAGACACAAGTACATTAGAACATGAGACTGGCAGTTGGAAAACTGAACATGTGGTAAAGTATACTGTTGACTAGTGAACGGACAGGATTAGAACCTCATATTACACCTTAAGCATAAAGGAATGAGGCACATTGTCAAGAACTGAACTGTAGAACATAACTGCAACCTTCTTTTTCAGATGCTACTTACAAGAAACAGTCAAGCGAGCATGAGGTCAGATGCAAGGAAAAATTTACACTCAGTTATAAGAAAACTTCTCTGATGAATGAGTCAACAATGTGAAGATCACGACCTCCAACTGAGCATGAAACATAAAGGAATGTGGGGGGGGGGGGTTGTGCATAGTCAACAAGTGGACATAAAACAAAATTAGCAAATTTCTGAATTCAAACGATACCTACAAGAAAGAGTCAAAGAAACCCATGGGGTCAAGTGCACGAAAATAATATTATGGTCTTGGATTTAAGAATTTTTTTCAGATTGATGAGTGAAATGCAATATACACGATACATCATTAGGCGAAAGAGAGTACAATGCTAATCTCCCAAAACTATACCACCAACAAGAGGAATTGAGTTCTGAATATCCAAGCCTACAAACAAAACTTACTTCCCTGTATCGAGAACCCAACCAGAGGTGTAACTTAAACAACTTTTTGCCATGCCGGGAATCAAAAGGTTTAGCCAGAGTATAGATAGAAGCCGTTGGATGTATATACAGTACTTGGCCAATCCAAAGAAGAACGCCTTAAAATTCCTCATTCATGCCTTTCCACAACAGGTAATCTAATGATAGCCTTTTGCACCTCTGGATTGATACAGTTCCAATCTGATCTTTGCTTCAGGCAACAAGTTGTCTATTACTGGGTCTTGCATCATGTAAGCTTGTTTGGAAGCCCATTCGAGCACCGTGAGGATTTCTGCTTGTGCCAACTCCTCGCTGTCTGGGACATTGTGTGCAATGTAGCATACAAGGGTGAGTGAAGCAATCTGAACCACCTGCTCACTGAAATACACAAGCTGAACTAGGTGCTTCGCTCCGCCTGCACTGATGATCGCTTTAGAATGGTCAACGTGCAGGTAATTATCCGTGCACGCAAACTTGGTCAGGGCAATTGCTGCCTCTCGAGAGACATCTGCTTCCCTCTCATCAAGAAGCTTCACCAATGGTCCAATAATCCGAGTCTCTGTAGCACGGAAGGTTCTGGACAAGCAACCTAGTGAGATAATGCAGGGAATTAGGAGATCATCATACTCAGCCTTCTCAACAACACGTAGGAGCTGGTCAACAACAGCCCGGGCAGCAGGAGAAGTTGGCTTGAATGCTGATCGTCGTAGGTCGGAATTCTGCTCAGCCACACAGCAGATCTCCATGAGAGCCATTGCGGAATTATATTGCACGTCACCTTCACCTTTCTCAAGAAGAACAGCAAAGCAGAGCAGAGCCCTTGACTCTGTGATGTTCTTACAGATGGCTGCATTTCCTTTGGCAAGCTGCCACAACGCCTTAGCTGCATTGGCCTTCATGTATGCCTTTGTCTCAGGGTCCTCGAACTCCCTGCCCCTTGTACTCGTTCCTGACAATGACGCATTGTGCTGCTTCGTTGCCACGACACCACCACCATTACTAGGTATGTTGTGCTTACCACTGCCGGATATGTTGTGCTTACCACTGCCTCCATTAGACTTGGCAGCCATGGTGGACTGCACCAAACTGTGGATCTCATTCTTGCTCTGGGAAGCGTGTCCAGCCGGATACCTCATGCCGCCATGCTCCCCTGCATCCAATAAGTCCGGCTGAACTGCAGAGCCGGTGCTGTTCTTTTGTCCATTAGCACGGAATGTATTGACATCTTGGATGTGATGGCGTACTTGGAGTGTTCCTGCACCGTCTCGAAAGCGAGGTGGCCGACGAGCAGCCGGATCACGTTGTGCAGCGCGAAGGCGTCCTGGGACTTGGGGTGGTTGGCAGCGAGCTCCGAGACGGCCCAGGCCACCATGGCCTGCACCTTCATGGGGCCCTCCTTGAGCACCTTGGCGAAGGCCAGGCACACCCCGGCCTGGACCATCTGCTCGACGCACTCCGGATCGCGGCCCAGGAGGCCGATGGCGAGCGCGCAGTTCTCCTGGCCCCGAGAGATGCCCCTCCTGACGAGCTTGAGCAGCGGCGGCACACCGTCCTCCTCTATGATGAGCTTCGAGTACCTGTCATTGTCGCGCGCCAGCGAGACGAGGCTGGCGGCGGCGTCCGCGCGGGCCTCGAGGTTGCCGGTGTAGAGCACGGCGATCTGCTCCCAGATGAGGGAAGAGGATGGGCCTGTTCTGCGCAATGGGCGGGAGCCCGATGTGGGCGTCGAAGTCGTCGTCGTCTTTGGCCGACGAGGAGACGCGGAGGAGCCAGGAGAGGTCGCCGACGGAGTTGTCGAGCTGGTTGGTCATCTTCTTGAAGGAGCCCGCGGGGATGATGGTGAAGACGCGGCGGACGAGGCCGTGGGCGCGGCACTTGTCGACGAGGGCCAGCGCCTTGTCGAGCGCCTTCTCGGTGTCGTCGAAGATGCGGCGCGCGGGGCGCTCGTAGAGGTCGGCGCGCGCGGCCTGGCGGAGCAGCCCGGCGAGGCGCTCGACCTTGGCCTTGAGCTCCATGCACTCCTGCCGGAACGTGTAGGCCTCATCGGACCACTTTATTACCTGCTCGGCGAGCTGGATCGGCCGCGCCAGGATCTGCTTGAGGTCGTCCATCCCGGCCGACGACGCTGTCGGCGGCGCGGTCAAGCAACCGAATGGAGGCCGGCCCCAGGCCCTGTCCCCAATCCCGCAGCCGGCGGTGGGCGGGCTGTTCGGTCTGGCCTTCCTCCCCTGCCTCCTCCGCAGGGTGGGAATTGGGGAGAATTGGAGGAGGAGGAAGAGGAGGTGAACGAGGGGTGGTGGTGGCAGGGAGTTAGTTTGGCATGGTTTTTGGTTTTTGGGCGAGGGCTGGTTCGCGCGCGCGCGCGTGCGTGAGCTCTGAGCTGGCTGCAGGCCGCGGAGACCACGGGACGGCAGCAACGGCCGTCGCGTCTCGTTCTCGTCTCGGCTCGGCACGATGCGTGTCTCTGCGGTGTCCTGCCTGCGCTACATTCGCGTCGGTTTTGCGGGTTCTGGCTGGGCGGTGCCGCTGCGGGGTCAAATGCACAGCAGCGCCGAGGGATGGAATCGAATCCATCGGCTCGGCCGGCATCGGGGTCGTTGGCTTGGCTGCCTTTGCCTGCCTGGCTGTAGTTGGAGGCTGTGGCGGGGTCTGGCACTCTGGCTAGCTAGCGGGCGACGTGCCGGGCTGATTGTTTGGTGCCGCACCACGTGGATGGAGCCGTCCTGTCCTGCCCCGTGGCCCGTGGATAATGGCGATACAATTGCATGTTTGCAGCAGGCAGATTGGGCAGACCGGGTTGCAATTGCAATTGTGGTTCGAATGCATATATGCTGCTTGCAGAGTTTAGGTGCGTCTGGATTCGGATGTGCTTTCGGTGATGGAAACGCTGAGCATTTGCTACCTTGCCTGCCTAGATTTTGATCCATCACTCATATTTCAATGCTTTCAGATCCGGCTGCATTCACTAAATCTGTTTTTTTTTTCATATCAATCATTTGCTTCCGCGGCGCAAACACTGCTGTCCATCAGCTCCTTCAGAGGATCAAGATTGAGGCGGACCCGTGGATTGAAGCCGGGAACCCAAGCTGAGTAGTTTAATACGCGAGTAATCTCCTTTGTATCGATCCGGCTGCTAGGGTAGGCAATGATCTTTAGAAATTAAAGCCACCCTAGCACTTCAATGTAAAAACAATCTCCTTCTCGAGAAAAATCATATCAATCATTTCCGACACCAAGTTTCGATCAGACTTCATGTATTCAATGTAGATTGCAAACTTTGTATATTGTAGACAGAACCAAATACACCTACTTTTCTTCATGCTGCTTTGATTTCGAAATATTAGGTGAGTTGAGTGGTTACAACTAATGAATTGTCAGTATTATATGTGGCATTTAATATTAGCCATCCAGGTGAAACACTCCCATTTATATGCCTTAAATGAATCAATTGAGGAATCCATGTCCTTTGTCACAAAAACTTCCAAAAAACATAATATAATCATTTATTTTCTGCACCCCCCAAAAAAAAAAAAAGGATCATTTATTTTCTCCAATCACAAATACACTAGCTACAGGTTGTCCAAGGTAATAATATCTATAAAAATATATTATTGTCTTATGTGAAAAAGTTGTATCTTCCTATCAGAAAACATGTCATTTAGGATAATTTGTGGTTAAACCTGAAAATTATATGTGCATAGATATGGATACAAAATATTTCCAAAATGTCTTAGAATTGAAGGCTTAAAAAAAATATATATATATATATATATTATAAGAAATTACTGTTCAATGATACACATCTAAGAGACTAAGATACTGCAAAGCTAGATCTATAATTATTATTGACCGGAGCTAACATTTGGTATAAAAGTTGTCTTGGTTTCATAATATCTGGACGAAACGGAAAGTAACTAAGGTGCAGCTAGCTATAGCCAAGTGGAAACAGAGCAGGGCATAAACGAAACTGTAACTTTATGTGCTAACATCGCCACTGTGCCGTTGTTTTTTATCCCAAAGTCCAAATAAACACAATTGGCACCACAATCTGCTCCTCGGCTGAGACGGGAAAAAAACATGCTTGCACGGATGGACACCACAACTCCACATGATGCCACTTTTGCGGTTTGGCACGTTCAGCGGCCGCATAAGCTCAGGAGTCAGGACAAACATCGTTGTCGTTTAGAGGAGGTGGGAGCGCGAGAAGGAAAACGATGCAACATGCAAGTGTCGCGTTAGCGGTGTGCCCAGACCCCAGAGCACCAAACTGAACGAGCTCACCGCGCAGAGAAGGGCGATGGGGACAGGAGGCGGAGAAAACTGAAAACTGAAAACGTCACCCAACGGCGGTTGCCGCCAAACAGAATGAACTCAGTATGCAACTGATCGGAACTGCTTGCTCAGCAGCACGCCTGTTGTAATTGTAGAAACTAAACAATCATTGTAGAAACTAAACAGTCACAAGGCCAAGAGGGTGCGGCACCCGTCGACCAAAAGGGCATTCGCGTGCGATCAGTGCAGGCACACCCTAGACACGCGACCTCACCGCACCCAGCACTCGCAGTAGAGGAGATGCGCGAGATCCTGAGCCCGGCGATGCCGCTCCGCGCCATGCGTGCTATCATGCCATGGCGCATTGCCCCCGCCCAGTCGCCCCTCTCAGAGCGATGCAGAGGCCCATGACGCCACTTCCCGCCCCAACTGCCCTCTTTAAGCCTCTCGTCACGTTCAGACACATCATGTCGCCCCTGCCCTGCTCAGGGCCTCCCAAGGCGCATCGTGTTGCACCCAAGGTTTTTAATTTCAGTATCGCCAAAATTTCGCCACCACCGAAGTTACTGAATTTCACGAAATTCGCCAAAATTTCCAATTTTTTTTAGAGATTAGCACATGAAGTATTTTTTTTTTCTAAAAAAAATTAGATCTAAACAAATATTAGTATGATTTATGACTATATATCTATTAAATAGAAGAATATGCAATATAAACAATAGAAAAATATAAGATTAGAGTTATATAGCACATGTATTAGTACATTAAAAAATTTCTCGAGTTTTCTTTAGAACCACCACCGAATTACCAATTTCAGAATTCGGCCGAAATTTCACCAAATTTTAAACCCTGTTGCACCGTCCCCACATTAAGTAATCACTTGTCGTCCTCTCCGGCCTGAGCTACACCCCACGTCTTCACAGGTGAGAGACAAATTGAGTGAAGAGAGAGAGAAGCACACGGGTGAAAGAGAGGGGGGATGAATGATTGGCTGGATTTTATGTGGGTCAACTTGTAGAAATGTTGCACTGAGCAGGGTAGTTTCTTGATATAGTGTCTTATATAATATAAAACTACAAGTTTTAGTTGAGACTAGCAAAAGCTTTAGGGGCAATAAATTATAGAAATAGCAAAAACTCCGATTACACTCATTGTAAATGTTAACCTACAAGTTAGAAAAGACTTAGTAACTTGGCCTTTGAACAAAAAAATCTTCATGTTGGCGAGGAAATCTAGTTAGTAATAATGTTAAAGTCACATGTGAAATTTAACGAAAATTAAGGCTTTTATGGTTCCTAAAAAAAGTTATACTTAGGTTTCTATTTGGCAAGGCTCTTTGAGCAGTTCTGGCTCCTCTATGGTTTGGGGAGAAGGTCTATCATGTCGGAGTGAGAAATGACTCCTTGAGTTAAACTCCTGGGAGATAAGCCAAAATTGTAGAAGTGAAGCCTCCATTTCGTGGGCTTCTTTGGCTCGCATCATCTTCTTCGGTGAAGCTCCTCATTGGCTCTTTGTTGCCAAACATGACCTTACTAAAAGATAATCTAGCCGTAAGGAATTGCAATGGCAAATACCAATTATGCTACTTCTAGGTAAATTAGAAACTATTCAACACCTCTCTTTTTTAAAAATGTATTTTTGCTAGATTTTTGTGGTGTGCTTTACACATATTCTTTCCATTGGTGTGCCTCCATTGTCGGGGATGGCAATGGGTCGAGTTGATCCATTGGATAGTTGACCCACCATAAAAGTAAGGCTAATGGCCCAAAGGGCTAGCTTCAAAGTAAAAAAAAGAATCGATATGGTCGGAACACATTGACCCAAAGGGTAATCCAATTATTACATAGCAACTTTTTTTTAAATTTGTCGGTCTTCTTCATTTTTCCTAATAAGCACGATTGGTCATAACTTGTAAGCATGTATATGCTAGGAAGTAGATCGGGAAATACCATATTTTTGAGAGTGAAAATAGATAAAATTAAAATCATGATTCACTTGCAAACTTATTTAATCTGATGCATTTCTAATAACCTTAATATGTTATCATGATACTTTTTAACCTTGTATCTCATCTTTTCTAGAAGTGTCAATAGTACTCATATCCATCATAGCACAAAAAAATTAGGCCGACTCATACTACCCATTGGGTTAGGGAGGCCATAAACTGTTAGGTGAAATGGATACCCATGACCCTCTAAATTGGCCATGAGTTCATGGTAAAATCCAAGATCAATCAATCCATTCCCATCTCCCTACACTATTGAGTGTGAAAAATCTATTGAGTGGATGGCATAAAATAGGAGAAAATCAATATAATCTACTACCACTGCTAGGTGCTTCTACTTTTTTTTTGTTGGTCCATATGGCTAATATGAAAATGACAATGTTTTCTATAAGCCTCAACCAAAAGCGTATGCTTATTGTATACTGTTTACAAGGAAACATATTGCCTACAGTTCTTGGTCCAATTACAATGATGCGATGATAGAAAATAATACATCATTCAGGCATAAGCCAGATTGTGTTTTTCTTCGCCTTCCATTGATGACCCTTTACTTTTAGGATTGAGTTTAAATTTAAATATTTTATAAGTCAAGTGAGATTAATTTTCTATGGATCTTATAATATAAGTGTGATTTGATTCCTCTCTTAAGGAGATAAATCCTGATGATGTTTTCCATTTATCTAAAGAAATAGTTAGGCTAGCAAATTATATTGCTGCCACGTTTCAGATCCCACACGGCTAGTGGCGTACAGTTCAACTGCTGCCGCTGCTTATCACACCATGTGCCGAAACAGTTGTTAAATGCTAGCAGTAGCTGTACCTCTTGTTTCTTCGTGCGGCCGAACGATCGCTGCAAGGACAACGGCGAGCAGATCAGCAGCAATCGCTTACCATCTGTTTAAATATATAACCCCGGCTTTGTGCGCTGTCACGCGCGTTTCTCTTTGTTTTCTTCTTTCTTTCTTTTTTTTCTTTTCCAACAACGAGGAATGGATGGGAGTGGAACGCATGCCATGCCGGCCCGGTCAATGCGAGCAAGGAGGGGCTGTGGATTCTTTCTTGTCCGTGATGCCATGCGAGGACGACGGGACGAGGAGGAGAGAGAGAGGGTTGTCCCGTTCAAGGTCGCGCGTGGCAAGTTGCAATGAAGCTGTTCGTTGATAGGTTTGTAGGCTGATAAGTTTCATAGTGCTGATAAATTTTACCGAAACCAATAAACGAACAGACGAAATGACCGAGCAGTTGAGTAGGAGTAGTTGATTGGTTCTGCCACAGCCAAGCGAGTCCCTGACATTGACGGGCGACGGGGAGTCGGGGAAAAGTGCGAGTGCGACCAGCGAGGTGGAGACGCCAGGGCGCTAGCTATTGTGCGCCGCTATTGCATCAATTGTACACGTCGTTTTCGCTTGCATCAGTTGCATATACAGCAGCCGCTCGCTGCTGTTGCTGGTGGTCGCCGGTTCAAGCAATTGACGAGCCGTTCTGTGAGGCTGCAGCTGCAAACCATGCAACTTGCAAAGGGCAAAGACATATCGGAGGAGAGGGCTATAGTAATGACAGGTCGTCTGATCGACTCGACACTCGAGCAAGGGAGAGCATCCTGACTCGATCAAACGATCAATAGTAGTCTGTACTCCTATTTGTCGATTGGAGGAGAGTATTTGGGGAAGACTGGGGAGAGGAGAGAGCGAGAGACAGTTTTCAGTTGGACAGGCACAGGCGCGCAGTGGTAGAGGTAGACAGATGTTTTCAGGAAACTGTGCGAGCGAGCACGCAGTGACTACTCCATCCGTCCGTAAAAGAATACAATTTCACGTTCCGAAGAGTTAAACAATTAGAATTATTTAAAAAATACGGAGGAGTCCTGTAGTCACAAGGCATCTAGTTTCTGGTAACGAGCAAATCTCGCGAGGCCATGGACGACATGAGGATGAGGTACAGAAGTGTGATACGCACTGTCGTCCCAACTCAAGTCGGAAATGTGATAACTCATCAGCTGACGGCTGGTGTATGTGTCTGTCTGTACTTTGCGATGCAAATTTCTAGTTTTGGGGTGTTTAGTTTTACCCCGAGATCTCAGCCCCACCACTACCATCGGACGGCTGCCTAGAGCCACCGCCAGTTCGGGTCGGGACCGACACCACTCTAGGATCAGCCTGCACAGTTCCCGGCTTCCTTGCTGCCACCGCCGCCGCGGGCAGCCCGGCTGTCGGTCTCTTCGTCCCCGCCCCTGCTTGCGAGAAGAGCGACGCGTTTCCCCTTCGAACCCTCGCCTACCGTGGGTGACGCCTTGTGGTACCGGCTGGAGATGGTGAAGATAGTGACGTACAACGTGAACGGGCTGCGGCCGCGGTGGCGCAGCACGGCTCGCTCCGCCGCCTCCTCAACGCCCTCGACGCCGACATCATCTGCTTCCAGGTCCGACCAATTGTTGATTTCCCACCACTAAACTGAACCCCATGTGTCGAAACCCGAAACCCTAGCTCAGTAGTGCTTGCCTGCCTGTGCTTATCACCACTGTCGCACTCGGACCCCCACTTAAAACGCGGAAATTTCACTGGATATTGGACGGAATGCAAACGGGCGAAGTTTGAAGCTTACTGCGATGAACACTTCATTTCAAGGAAAAGACAATGTTTTCCCCATATAAGGAAAAAAGACAATGTATCTGCAGGTCCTGCTAGTTTACATTCAAAAAGAAAAAAGAGAGAGAATGTATCTAGTTTAGTGTAGATCAAAGAATTGTTTCTGTGGTGGGATGCAATTTATCGCTTATTCTGTCTAATGCAAAGAGTAAAACTGCGCGAGCTGAAGTTAGGCTTGTGTGTACTGATTTATTCGAGCTAACTTTTTTTCCCCTCAAACACACGAGAGCTGCGTATCATTATATTAAGAAGAAAAATTCGAGCTAACTGTATCAATGCCTGCTGTATTGTAGGAGACCAAATTGTCAAGGCAGGACCTATCTGCAGATGTCATTATGGCTGAAGGATATGAGGCCTTTGTTTCATGCAATCGCTCTTCAAAAGGTCGTGGAGCATACTCGGGTATGTTGTTATGGTGTCACAAATGGTAATCACAATATGTTGATTTGGCTGATATACTGATGCATAGTTGCTTGCCTGGTTGGAGATGTTCTCTGGGTTCAGCATTACTTTGATTGGACCACGTCCTCAGTCAATTACTGTACTCGAATCCTTTGTAGGTGTTGCAACGTTTTGCCGAGTAACATCATCATTTTCCAGTCAGGAGGTTGCTTTGCCAGTAGCAGCTGAAGAAGGCTTTACTGGACTTCAGGACTATGCAAAAAATAGTGAAACTGTTGGGGATTTCATTATTGCAATGCCTGTCGAGGAGGAAGGTCTTGGTGAAATCACAAGAGAGGACCTCCTAAGGGTGGACAATGAGGGGCGGTGCATCATCACTGATCATGGGCATTTTGGTAAGTAGCTTGTTCCCTTGATAGGAACATAACTTCTTGCATTTTCAAGTTTTTTTATTGCGTATTTGATTTTTGTTTTGTATGTAATAATGATAATGGTTCACCACTTGTTTAGTTCTTTTCAACATATATGGCCCAGCTGTTGAAGAAGATGACAAAGAGCGGGTTCGTTTTAAGCTACTGTTTTACAAGATACTGCAGGTACTTTGTGTGTGTCTCTGCTAATAAGTATCTCTCATGAAGAATATTTCAACAATACTTCTATCTTTTCAATGCTTATTGCCTATATATTTATGCTTCTTATACTTGCTTCTTTCTTTCATTACCTCTTAGAAAAGATGGGAACATCTATTGGCTCTTGGAAAGAGAGTCTTTGTTGTTGGTGATTTGAATATTGCTCCTGCTTCTATAGACAGGTGTGACGCGCCACCTGGCTTTGAGAAGCAAAATGTAAGCCTTCTTTTAGCATTTTTTTGCTATGGTTCCAATTATAAAGCATCCGGAAACAAAATGCATTTTTATTCTCATTTTCCTAATGAAAGGTTCCGAGAATGGCTGAGATCCATGCTGAGAGAACACGGAGGTCCCTTTTTGATGCTTTTAAATCAAAACACCCTGAAAGGTACTGGAATGCCCCCAGAGCTACCCAACCGCTTGTGCACATGATTTTGTTTTTACAAGTTGCTCATATTTACCTGAAAGCAACCACACTGGTCAAATAGAACCCTCTTTGTAAGTTGTAACAATGAGTTGAGTCTACTCTATTTTCATTATCCATGGTTGACTTAGGTCCAGTTTTGTCTGGGCTTTGTCATAAGCTGAGAAACTTGCTTCTTAAAAAGCTATAAAAAGATTGTTTTGAGGAACCACTTTTGAAAACTGCTTGATTTGAAGTAAATAGCCATCTTTTTAAAATTGCTTTTCAAAAAATTCTAATTGATTTAACTGCTTTAATATCCGTGCAGAAGTGTTTCTGAAAAGGCCAAACATACTGGGCTTATAAGTAGACTCATCCCAAGTTACTTTCTAAAGCATACTTTGCTGTGTTTCTTTTGTTCTGGATAGGAGCGTATACTTGTTTTAATCAGAAAATTGGTGCTGAAGAGTATAATTATGGCTCTAGGATAGACCACATTCTCATTTCCGGTTCCTGTCTCCATCTGTGATTCTGTGGAGGACCATAGCATTTTTGTTGTCATGTAGAAGAATGTGAGGTAATGAATCATTTCAAAAGAGGGAATTCTGAAAATTATCAAAGTAAAGAATACTGGATATCAGTTTTCTCTGAAATGAAGTGGATATTGTACATGATTTGCTGTGTTACATTAGAATGATTTAATCTTTCCATTCTCTACAGGTGGAAAGGGGGAAGAAGTAGTAAGCTAGAAGGATCTGATCATATTCCAGTTTATATTTTACTGAAAGAAATACCTGAACTTCCAGTTCAGCTGCAAGATATCTTCCAGAGGTCTGTGGATGGCAACAAAGTATTGGTGAGTGAATTTTAGTGTTCTGTATGTTTTTTTTAGTTGTAGCTTGCTTTTTGCAGTTTTGGTGTTTGTGCTAAAACCAGTTTCTGTGTAGAATTTATTTTTGCTAAAGCAAGTAGCTGAGTTGTTTAGGGTTTTATGTTGCGTTGGATTTGCGGTCATACAAGAAGGGATCGAGTTCGAACGATGATATACGTGATAGATTAGGGGCAGCACCAATTGAAGAAAAGCTTGTCCAACACCGTTGAGATGGTTTGGACATGTCCAACGGAGACCTCCAGAGGCACCGGTGTGTAGTGGAATCCTAAGCCGTGATAGTAATGTGAAGAGAGATGAGGAAGACCGAAGTTGACTTGGGTAGAGGCAATAAAAGGAGACTTGAAAGGATGGAATATACCCAAAGACTTAGCCTTAGATAGGAGTGCTTGGAAAACAGCTATTCACGTGCTGAACCTTGATTGCTTCTGCTTAGGTTTCAACTCTAGCCTACCCCCAACTTGTTTGGGACTTAAAGGCTTTGTTGTTGTTGTTGTTGTTGCAAGTAGCTGAGTTGTTCATGGAACTTTTCTATCTTATGTAAGGACTTCATTTTCTTATCTGTTAATATTCTTTTCTATGGTGTATTAATGTGTTTGCCCAAAATCCATACTTATTTTCATAGAAGTTTCGTTAAGGAAAGTGCACTTCATCATTTTTGGTTTGGAGGAAATCATAACTTGCTTCAAGACTTGGCTTTCTTATGTGTTTATTAGACACATACCTCAACTATGCCAACAGAATGATCTGTGCAAATTATCTTTCACATTTTCCTGATGTTCACTGTTGATTTCTAAACTCATAAGTTATGTGGCAGTGGCACTTTGCTTGGCTGAGTTAGAAAATAAACCCTATCTTTGGTCATGCTTAATATAGCATGTTTACTGTGCATTACACTTTGGTGTTGTAGTGCTGTTCTTTTAATATTCAGTTTCATCAGAGCTCATTAGCTCGTGAAGTTGGTAAGGTATCTGGTCTTATATGGCAGCTAGCCCCTAAGTTATACTTGGGGCTCAGTGGAGCACTTTTGTGTGAAGTGGTACTAGTTACAGTATATTGTGTAATACTGACTGCCAGTGTTGTCACAATTTGCAGTATCATTCCTTGGTAAAGGAAAATTTATGAGCTGCAAAATGCTGCAAAATATGATTCAGTCCGAAGATACAGTAGTCGGTAGCTACTGTAGTGATGGCTTGGAGAATACAATTATAGCTAAGGAAGGACTGACAACTGGTATAACTGAGTTTGCAAAAGGTCATAACCTTCCTAGTTTGATGTGCAAGGGACAAATCTTGATCAATGGACAAATGAAGGTTTGATTGGCGTCTCTCATAGCAGCCAGAAAACTTCACTGTCTAGCGCCAAGTTTGTGCCAAAAGAAAATTAAACGCAACTTATCGTCTCAACCAACAATCAAGTCGCTTTTTGAGCGACCAGGTCAAAGACAGGAAATGCCAGTACCAGTACCTTAGTTACTCCAGCAGAAACATTAGACCTCATAAATCAAACATGTGTTTCAAATGATGATAGTCTGCCTGAAAACATGCAGTGCACAACGTCAGCTGCAAAAGATCAGGATAATACAAATGTATCATCCTGTTCACTTTCAACAGACAAGTCTAATGCTGCAGCATTAGAGTGGCAGAGAATACAACAAAAGATGAAGATGACGCTACCAGGTTGCAAAGGGCATAGTGAACCATGCATTCCGAGATCTGTGAAGAAGGGCCCTAATATAGGCCGTTTGTTCTATGTTTGTGCTCGTGCTCAAGTACACATGTACTCACAATTTCCTGCTTAGTAGTTAGTAGACATAACATCATCATGTCGTCCGAACAGTCAAATAGGTTGTGAACAATGTAAATGGCCCTTTTAGAGAATACACAGCTACCAATGCGGATCCAGGAAATATTTAAGGGGGCTGAACAACACTGCTGCTCTTTCGTCTTGAAATTCTGATCAACTATATAACTTTACTTTCTGCATGAGGGCTATAATAATTTAGACTGATTAGGGTATGGGTAAGGGGGCTTGAGCCCCCCACCCCCCAACTGGATCCGCCCTGCACAGCACTATATCTCACAGTGATCATCACTTATTATATTTTGTCAGGGGCCTGCATCAAATCCAGAAGCAAATTATGCACCTGGAAAATCCAAAGAGAAGAGCTCTAAGAGAAACGTCAATGACTGTTTTTTCCTTCCAGGTGAAAGGGACTCCTTCAGCACTCAGTGTATGCTTTTGTGTTGTGCCAACTGTCAATTTCAACTAGGAGTCCAGGACATTTTGCTTCCTATGAGTCTGGTACATCACTTTGTCCCAACATACTGATGACGCAGTGATGTACTTGAGGAGAAGTAAGCTGATCATTTAGGACCTGTTTGGGTGGGCTGGCTCCGCCGATCCGCCCTCTAATCGGAGGGGCCACAAAACCTGTCTTCACCAGCTCTCCATTGTTTTGAGAAGGAGGGAGAAAAACAGCTTCATGAACATTGTAGCTACAGTAGCGCATCAGCTGGAGCCGCGAATAGCTGTCCCAAGCGCGGCCTTAGTAAGCACTAATTTTTCCTAAGGTAGGTGTACATATTCTAATCCTGTAATTAGTTGGTTGTAACACTAACATGTAGCCTTCCGTTGGTTGGCTAACAACCAAATGATATCTCAGAGATCTCCTCAAGATTTATTTATTTTCCTCCTGGTTTAGTTTATGCAAATTCTTAATAGACAAGTGGCCATTAGTGGAGAAATCTTACAATCCTGTAGTAATGTTTTTACATTGAAAGTTTGAAAACCAATGTGGGCATTATGGTATTATTGCCCATCTCTCTCCAGAAATGAAGTGCCAGTTGCGCAGAGAGCGACTGATACTCCCTAATTTCCAACATTTATACTCTTTATTTAAAAGAGTCATTTATAGTTTATTATTCCTTTTCAACCAGGTGGCATGCCATGGTAGGTTTTTGTTTCTTCACTTTTTCAAAACAACGGTATAGGGCATATATAGGCAAGAATTAACCGATGTTGGCTGATGGTTTCTGTGGCTAATGTCGGCTGAAACTATTTTGTTGCGAGTAGAAAAACACTATATCTGGCATGGTAAGATTCTCAAGTTAACAGGGTAACCAAAAGCCACTGGAGAATTGGTTTATATAAAATTGGTTGAAGCGAAAGATACTTAGAGTGGCATCACCCTGACTAAAACGTTCAAACATTTTTTCTTATTGCCATTCTGAAACTATTAGCTGGTCCCCGTGTTATTTAGGTTTCTGAGCCCACGTGAAGGCATGATAAGCTTGATTACTCGAAATAGTGTAACCCCGAGTAACCTAGCTACTGGCTCCCGCCATTGTATTATTGACGAAGCTATGTGCGTATGTCGACATGTCGTTGGGAGCAGTTGAACGCGAGGTACAGGTTGTGCTTTGA